GATCTAAAGCCAGATGACATGCCGCCGAAGAACGCATCGCGCCGCCGCCCGATCCAGGCCAGCCGCCGCAGCCGCCGCCCATGGCCCGAGGTAGGGCCGGCCGCCGCCGTCGTCGAAGCCAACGCCGTCGCATCTAGATCGGCCGCACCTCCACGCATGTTGGGGCCCCGTCACCCCTGAGATGCGGGAGGGAGGAAGAGCCCCCGCCACCGCCGTCGGCCTCCGGGCACAAGCCGGCGGCGTCCTCCGGCGGCGGCGGAAGGAGGGGAGGAAGATGGGCTAGGCCCGGCGGCAGCTAGGGTTGGGGAGCCCCCGAGTCGCCCGAGCGGGGGGCAGACGCGGGGGGCTGTTGCGGGGCCCGAGCTACTGCCATTTTGTCACAAATGCTAACGTGCAACCTCACAAAATGTTGACAGGACATTAATTTTAAAATTTCTCAAAACCTGCTATACATTGTACAATGAAATTACATTACAACTTATCTTTTTTTTCTCATGTAAACACTTTGCTGCATCATGTAAGAATTTTGAGCTAACCAAAGTGCAATTTAGATCTTTGTGGATAGAAATGGATATGTTCTCTGAAGCTCTTGGGCTTTTCATTTCAGATTTACCAATGACGCAAGTGAAAAGTTTGATCGAGAGGACAGCCTGTCATTAATAAGGCCAAGGCCCATTGTTTCCAACAACGGGTGGAGCATAGCTTCGTCAACAGACGTCAAGATGACGAAGAACACAGATAGTGTGACATCTTTTGACGAAGATGACGAAGAAAACAAAAGGGAGTAACGCATCTGATGAGGCCACCTCATCAGATCCTTTGAAGTGGATATGCTAGAACAATTTTGGTATTTAGCAGAGGGATCGGCCATGCTAATTCTAGTCGTTGGGATACGGTCCTTGGAAGGGTTTCTTCCTTGTTAAATCCTTCTCCATTGGTTTCTTCATACAGTGCATGCATCACTGTAAGGATGATTATATATGATAGGAACAGTTCATGTGTGGTATTACGGGGGATGTGTGGTGTATGATACTCCTCTTTGGTAGATCACGTATTGTTTCTAGTTTATGTGAACTATGAATGTTGTCAATAGTACTGCTGCGAGTGCAATTATTTGTTGCTACAAATGTGTTGAAATTTCCCTTTTGGTTTCAGCATCCCAAGATTAGTCTAGTCGGGTTTTTTTTGCGAGGAGATTAGTATAGTCGTTGAAAGACTGAAACCTCGCAATTTTCAGATGTTTTACGCACAGCTGCAAAACCTCTACCTGCTGTTGAAGTTTGTGAACCTACATGTATAGCTTGTGGATTCAATTTGATCAGAAAAAAAAATCATATATTTCTAGCACATACACTATTCGCTATACAAGTCCATGATTTTGTTTTATTGTGCAGCTCACGCTACAACATACTAGTATTTCATCATGAAATTTTACAGAAATGTAGTACTCCCTCTGATCAAAAAATAAGCTGCATACATCCTTGTATACACGCATACGTTTTAAACTTCAAAGTATGGATGTTGATTTATTTTTTTCTTCTCCCAAAAACCAGTCTGCATGGAACCCGGGAGCAAGAAATCCGTACCCCCTTTTGAGTCTTGACTGCCCTTGAATCAGCTGTATAATAGTGGAATCCCAAAAGAAAAAAAAACGCACGAGCACAAGCACCCTTTGCGGCCGCGCAATAATAAGAGCCAAAAAGGGAAGATGCGCAATCGCAAAGCAGCAGCAGTAGACTGAGACTTGCATTCGGCATGGAGAATATACCCGGCCGCCGTGGCAAGGAATTTAGACCAAGCGACGAAGCCATCCCGGTCCTGCTTTCGGCGGGATCACAGTTGTGCTGCTCCAGACTCGCGACATCCTCAACGACGAGTGCGCCTCCACATCCACATGGCGCGCCCATAGCGGAGCGGAGGGAGGGCGGGGCGGGGCGGCCGTCGGCATCGATCACGGCAGGCACCACCTGTACGTGTTTGCGGTTGGAAAAGGCAGGGAGGATCCACGGACGACGGATCGGGGGCGCCTTCCCTCGCTTTCCCGGCCTCACGAGCCGCACGAGCGCGCGCACTGGCCGCACCATCGGACGCTGGAATTTTGGCACGCCTCACGGGCGCCCGCTGACTTCTCTCCGGCGCTCGTCGTCGCCCTGGCACCGAACACCACAGGGAAGTATCAATCTCAATCAAACCAAACCAAACCAAACCAAATGGCATTCGCCTCGCCTCCCGGGTCGGTCAGAGCGAGCTTTCACCTGGCCTGGCGTCCGTGCTACTGGTAAAACCGGTAGAAAGATCAAGGCAGGGAGGTCGCCACCACGCCACGCCATGCCACCTCAGGGAGGTTTCCACGAGTCAGCCATCATCACAGCTTTGCTCGACAAAACCATCACATGCTGCCAATGCTTTCCTATATATCAAGAACTAAAACGTGCTCCCCACGTTCCTAGATACAAGCCTTTCTTAGAGACTTCAACATAAACCACATACACCCTCCCCAAAAAAATAAATTATAAGATTCATTCATTTTGCTCCCTATGTAGTCCATATTATAGAATCTCTAAAACGGACACGGAGGAATTGATCCCGGGCACCAGTGATCTCGGATAAACAGTAAAATCAGAAAAAATAGTAAAACAATTCAAAAAAATCTGAAATTATTTGTCAAGAAACTTTGATGTTTTTTCTACATGCGTACCAATTTTCGTAATGAAATGACATTTGTGGAGGTCCCGGCAAAAAAAACAAAATCATGCTTCAAAAAAACTGTTTTTGGATACATTTTGGAGCATCGATTTTGTCTTTTTTTCCGAGACCTGCATGAATGTCATTTTTTCATGAAATTTTGCATGCATGTGAAAAAGATATCAATGTTTGTTGCCAAAAAAATTCAGATTTTTTTGAACTATTTAAATATATTTTTCGCGTGTACTGTAGCAAAGGGAGCCTGTGAGCTCGAGCTCACAATAGCACTTTCGCTCTAAAACAACTTATATTTAGGAACGGAGGGAGTAGCACAATACGTACATTGTAGCGCACCTGCTTGTTCGCTTGAGAATGAGAATAATTCGGCTCTGCCTTGCCGGAACTGCCAATTGGGTTGGATGTTTGTTAGGGTCCCTTGCTTGCTGTTACGTGATGCGGCATCGGTTATGCGGTTAGCATGTGCTGGATTTGTTCCAACGACACAGCAGGGGAGGGAATGATTGGCTGCTTATTATGATGATGACGACGATGCAATCAGTGTCCCTTGTGCCGGCCTCTGTATTCGGCAATGTTGGGTCGGGTTGTAATAATGCTATTTAAGCTGTGAGCTGTATGCATGGCAACAAATGTCTCTCATTGCTTCTCGCTCAACTGTATTCTCGTTATGAACCCTTCCGCTCACACTTGGGTAGTAGTACTACCCAAAGAGTGACATTACCTCATTCTTACCAATATTCGCATGTTTATTCTGGAAGATATAGCTTTTTTCTTTCTTTTCCTTTCAGAGCACCTGTAATGTACTCCCTCCGTAAAGAAAATATAAGAGCATTTAGAACACTACAGTAGTGATCTAAATGCTCTTATATTTCTTTACAGAGGGAGTACTTAATTTGTGATAGCAGGTACTTCCTCTGTAAACTAAGATAAGATCTTTTAAGTAGTGATCTACAAGATCTTAGTTTACAGAGGGAGTAACAGCCAGGAACGATGAATTATGTGATAAATTTTATGAAAGGTTTAATAGAAATAGCAGAATCTGAATATTATTACTATTATTCTGGCCTCTTTTCTATCACCTTCTATTTCTATTTGCTTTTCTATGATCAAGCACTAGTAGGGACAAATGCATGATGAGCATATTATGGTTGCACCACTGGTTAACAGGGCCTTCTTTTCTATGTAATGAAATACCAGCCCAAATCAAAACTCTGATACTCTAGCCTCTACTGCCGAGTGCAACAAGATGATACATTGATCAATCAATTTGCTGCCATCTGCTAGAGCATAGGGTTTATTTACCAATAATTCAAGACAGGGGAGTATTTAGATATTCGTATTTCACTTGAAAAGGGACCTGGGGTGGAAACCTCAACACTGAAACTTAAGGCAAGAACTTGATCCTACATAATATAAAATTGCAGCACAAGTAGCACAGCTGATTTTATATCTAATCTACCAAGTGCAATCTTTGTATATATATTTGATTCAACCAAGAACAAGACAGGACACCCAGCTAAAGGTCAAACCAAGACCAGGAAATTACAACTTACAACTATGCGACATTACTAAAAGAACATTCCTATATGAACATGCTGCTACACAAAATTACAACAACACTTAAACAAATGAACAAGATCGCCAACTGAGGAAGAAACACCCAAGACTTTTGACAGCGTCAATATGATCCTGATTCTGTTTCAGATTACCTCTAGTAGAAGAAATCATCACCAACTACACCCTTAAGTCTCAGGAGAGTGAAACAAAATACATACCCGACTGCCTGCACTGGCTTCACCGAAGAATTAAAGAATGCTCGGCAACAACACACAACCAAGTGATACAGCTACTGCAAGCTTCAAGCAATCTCTCATCCATGGGATCTCCTCCTATTATGCGGTGGAGGTGGAGACCCCTCGAAGAAATCCGTCACGGATATCTCAAGGTCCTCAACTGTGTATTTGATGTACAACTCTGGATGCCTCCCGTTCTCAATATGATGCCGGAATCGACCAAGGAAGGACCGGTATGCTGGGAGCAGCTTCTCTGCTATTGAGATCCTAAGCTCTTCTTTCAGCTGTGTGTCAGGCACATACCACCCAGACTGAGCCCTATGTGCCTCCTCGAACGCAGCATTGAAAGACTTGAAGCGCTCCCGAAGTGCTGATTTGGATATTCCTGATGAAAAGCCACCGCTGACATGGAGACCCTCGTCTCTTAGACAATTCAGGATCTTAAGCCATGCACTGCGCTGGTAAGCTGTGGCTGCCAACCGGAACTTACCTGTGAGCCGCTTTAGGTACACATCGCCAATGAGTCCCCGGAGCTCAGGCGAGTCCTTTACCTTGTGCACGATATAGTGCACATTGTTCATTAGGAACAAGTGAGAGAGTGCCGGGTCCTTGTAGAGTGATGCCTTGCCTTCAAGGTTGTGTTCAAGAACCACAATAGTCCAGATAAGATGAGCAGAAAGTGGTAACTGGCTGTCAGGATCAGGAAGGTCCAGATCAGGAAATGACGGTGTGAGATCATTGCCATCGGCAGGAACACGCGAGCTAGCTGATGGTCGTGACACGATCAGCTCAGAAAGTGTCGTCTTGTAGTCGGAAATGAGGACAATGTAATTCATCACATAGCGAGTGAGGGGATGGATGGTGCCGCCGGGCACTGGAGTCTTGGAGGGGTCACGGAGAACGGCGTTCTCGAACTCAGAGAGTACCCCACGGACAGCATCAGCCAGACGCGCCCTGATCTCGGTTGTCTGCACATATATGGGTTCCCCGGCCTTGGAGGCGGCGAAGATATCGGAGACATCAGGCAGCAGATCGACCAGTGCATCGTGCAGATCAATGATCTTGAAGAGCTTCTCTGGCGAGCGGCGGCCGATGCTGATGGCCTCGGCAAAGCCAAAGAGCTGCAGCGCGGCGCCCTTGACGGTTTCGACGAAGGGGGCGGCGGGAGTCGTGGTGGGAGCGGGGGTGGCGATGGTGGGGTTGGAGAGGGGAAGGTCGTGGAAGATGAGGAAGCAAAGGCGGCGCTCGCTGGCGAAAACGCCGCGGACGGCGGCGCGGGCTGCGCGGATCCAGCGGCGGATCTTGACCTCGAGGGCGTCCCACTCGAGCCGCTGGACGTCGCCGATGGTGAGCTTCTCGACGCCGAGGCGGCGCAGGGCGGAGTCAACGGCCGGCTTGCGGACGGAGGCGTAGACCTGGACGCACTCGCGGTCGTAGCCGGCGGCGGCCATGCGGGAGGCGATGGCGTTGAGGTCGTTGACGGCTTCGGGCGGGAGGAGGTCGATCTCGCGGATGCTGCGCATGGAGCGGTAGCTGCTGCGGCGGCCGACGGAGGACTCGACGGACTCGTCGTCCACCGGCGGCGCGTCGCCGACGTCGGAGAAGCTGGAGCGGTCGCTGCACATGGAGAGGGAGCTGAGGTCGGCGAGCACCTCGATCTCGAGGTCGACCGCGCGCGACGCCAGCACGTGGCGGAACTCGTCCTCGAGCCGCGCCATGGCGACCTGGACGGCGCCGGAGGCCCCCGCCGAGGAGGTGCGGCGCGGGCTGCCGGGGGACGGCGGCGCGAGGCGGCGGAGGTCGTCCACCGCCTGGAGGAAGCGCTCGGCCTCCACCCGGTCTCCGCCGCCGTCGAACAGCATCTGGTCCTCCCCGCCGCCCCCGCCCCCGCCGCCCGCGGGCGCGGACGCCGTGGAGTCCCAGCGCCTCACCACCCTCTCCGCCCTCTCCAGCTCCGCCGCGGCGGATCCGTCCATGCTTCGCCCCCTCCGGTCCTCTTCTCCGCAGCACACGGCAGCACCACCGGCCAGCCGCGCGATAAACCGATACCAATAGAAGGGAGGGAGGGAGGCGCAGCTCCGGCTTGAGTCGGGGAGGCGGAGCCGGCTTCGTGGAGCGGCGGGAAGCAAACAACCGGCGGCGATGAGGCTGCTGTCTTGGCTCTGCGCTGTGCTCTCTCTGCTCTCGTCTCTGGTTAGTCCAGCGAGGGGAGACCGGCCGATTTCTCGCTCTGCTTTGCTTTGGTCGTTCGGGCTCCCTCCCCTCGCGATAATTATTGCGCGGATTAGCCCAAGGCGAATCAGATTTTCTTTTTCTTCCTCCGTTCCAAAACAAAGCCTTGATGGACGATGACGAAAATGAGCTGATTGCCGGGCCCACCTGCCAGAGGCGCATCGAACATGGGAGAGCGATCTACGAGTGCCCCACCAGCCGGTCGGCATTCGGCTGATGCACTTTTTCTTTTCTTCTAAAGATAAAGAAAACTTTCAATTTATTCCCCCAAGACAGTGCAAATATCATTCGGAACAAAAGTCCAGGTCTATAGGCTACCTAGTGACGACTTAAAATAGGCTTTCGCTCCGCTATGTTAATATAGCAACGACCCAATACAACAGCTTAAGCAATGTTGTGGCAAACAAGCCAAACACGCCAAAAAAGACAAGAGAAAAATAAGAGAAATAATGCCAACATCGCCGGATCTACGAAAGCGATGGGATCCTGCAACCGTTGCGCCCAACGGAGACTTTCACCATGCTTCAATGACATAGAATTGCCGTGTATCAAGCAACACCTTCAAGAAGGATTGTGATGATGAAGACGTTGTTGCTCGGATGAATCCTAGCATTTCTCCCGGTACACAGAGGGGAGTGGGGGAAAGGTCCACACGACACCCTTCAAGAAGGATGGCGGCACCCACATGCGGCACCGCATTGGTGCCGGCGAGACCCGACAGAGATTTCTCCCGACCCCTCGCACCCACAACTCAGGACCAACCGTCTGCTCCACCACCTTCGCCGCCCACCAACATGCGCCAACACAGTCAAGAGAACCTCACCGCCGTCTCACCACGGTAAACGTTGTGAGGCCGGTCGGACCAAAATGAATCACCCATAGATAGGGGCATGCAGTACCATAGCCACGTGGGAGGGAACAACCTCCACCGGCTCAGGCGGTAGCAGACCGGATGCAGTAGCGGGAGCACACCTGGCCAATTGCCCGTTCGGGACTAGATTGGGCCTATGAAGCTCCTGCCGCCGTGCTGCAGCAGATGCTACATAGTAGCCGCCGCCCCCATCGTGAAGTGCTCACCGGACCAGCCAGAGATGACCCGTCGCAGCCCTAGCCGGCCCATCCCGACCCAGATCGGCCCCAAAGGGGCTCAGATCTGGGCTTGCAGAGCGCCGCCGGTCCCTGCCCTCCCGAAGCCACCATCGTCGCCTCGTCGCCATCCAGGCCCGCTCGCCCAAGTCATGGGCCTGCGTCGGGGAAGGGAAGGGGCCGCCACCGCCAGCCACACCATGGCGCTGCGTGGGAAACGCCCGATCGCGCCCACCGGTGGCAGCGGCAAGAGGGAGGGGCGCAAGGAGCTCGGAGAGTGCTACTTGTGAGCTGTGTTAGGATTTCCCGAAGAGGAGGGGATGGTGTAGTACAGTAGAGATAAGTATTTCCCTAGGCTAGAAACCAAGGTTATCAATCCAGTAGGAGAACCACGCAACACCTCGTTAGCAGCACCTAGACACAAAATAATAAATCATTGCACCCGTTGTCAATCCCTTGACGGTTACTTGCAAGGATCAAATCTCGTAGTGATAGATAGATAAATAAAACACAAAATAAAATAACGTAAATAAAAGTGCAGCAATATAATTTTGGATTTTGATATATGATGTGTGATTTAAATAGACCCCGGGGCTATAGTTTTCACTAAATGCTTCTCTTTCGAAAATAACGTATGACGGGTAAACAAATTACTGATGGGAAATTGATAGAAAAGCGAATAATCATGATGATATCTAAGGCAATGATCATGTATATAGGAATCACATCCGAGACAAGTAAACCGACTCCTGCGTGCATCTACTACTATTACTCTACACATCAACCGTTATCCAGCATGCATCTAGAGTATTAAGTTCATAAAGAACGGAATAACGCCTTAAGCAAGATGACATGATGTAGACAAAGTAAACTCACGCATGAATAAAACCCATTTATGTATCCTTAATGGCAACGATGCAAATACGTGTCATGTCCCTTTCTGTCACTTGGATTGAGCACCGTAAGATCGAACCCATCACAAATCACCTCTCTCATTGCAAGAAAAATCAATCTAGTTAGCCAAACCAAATCAATAGATCGGAAAGAAATAATAATCATGCATAAAAGAGTTCAGAGAAGACTCAAATAATATTCATAAATAATCTGATCATAAACTGAAAATTCATCGGATCCCAACAAACAAACCGCAAAAAGTGATTATATCGAATAGAACTCCAAGAACATCAAGGAGAACATTGTATTGAAGATCAAAGAGAGAGAAGAAACCATCTAACTACTAAGTATGGACCCGTAGTCAGCGATAAACTACTCACGCTTCATCGAAGGGGTAGCAAGGTTGATGTAGTTCCCCTTCGTGGTTGATTCCTCCTCCGGCAGAGTGCCAAAAAAGGTCCCCAAGTGGGATCTCTCGAGAATAGAAGCTTGCGGCAATAGAAAAGGGTTTCCGGTAGCTCTCTGATGGTTTCCAGATTTTAGAGAATTTATAGAGGCAGAATTAGGTCAAAAGGCTGAACATGGGCCCCTACAAGCCACCAGGGTGCACCTACCCCACTAGGCGTGCCCTGGTGCCCTGTGGGCACCTCCTTCATCTCCTGGTCTCCTCCCGAACCTTCCAAGGTCTCTTTTGTCCAGAAAAAAAATCTCTAAATAGTTTCGTGGCAATTGGACTTCATTTGGTATTGATATTCCGGAAAACCAAAAAGAGGCAAAAAAACAACAACTGGGTTTGGGCACTAAGTTAATAGGTTAGTCCCAAAAAAAGATACATAATTGCTTTTAATTGCATATAAAACATCAAAAGTTGATACTATAATAGCATGGAACAATCAAACAATATAGATACGTTGGAGACATATCAGAGAGGTGGGGGAGAGGGAGGCCACTCCAGTCGCCTCGCTCGGGGAGGCGATGCGGAGGTACGCACGGGGGGAGGGGGTCTCTGTGCGGAGGCTACCTAGTGATGACTACAAACACTAGAGCAATCTGAAGGTGTGTTGTTGTCCATCATTGAAGTTGGATGAAAGTGCAACTATCCCTAGGTGGTTTTGGTAATTCCTAACAACATCTAGCTCATTGGGCTAATACTATTCCAAGACAAATATTTCAGGAAAAGCTCAATGAATGGCATGGCATGGATGAGGAAAGTGGATCCCTCAAAATACTAAGGATAAAAGGATTGGCTCAAGCTCAAAAGCTCAAGACTCTACATTTTATATTTTAGTGATCCAAGATCACATTGAGTCTAAAAGCCAATACTATCAAGGAGGGATGAGGTGTTGCTTAATGAGTTTCTTGCTCCACAGTGCTTACGCTGTGTTTGGATGTCTGTATTGGAGGACTCCGTATTGAATCGGTTTCAATACCAATTCAGTGGGGAAACTGTAATGGACATGAATACGATTTCACTTGTTTGGATGTCATGGAATTGGCCCATGGAATCCTAGTGAGGTTTCAATACCAAATCTTGTTTGGATGACAAAGTATGGAATTGCATAATGCCTTGTTCTATATGCATCAAATCAAAATTTATACAATATGTGACTATAGTCAACGTCCTTGTTGCTCTCGCTGTCAAGTAAGACGGATTGTCGATGATCATCTTATCTTGCTGGCTCTTGCTGGCAGTATGCTCCTGCTGGCCTCCCTCTCTTCTTCTGAAAAGCAACCAGCCAAAGCAGAGACATAAGTTCCACACCGCACACACAATTAAGAATCAATCCACCCATCAAAAATTAACAATCAATCCTCTTGTTATACTAATCTCATTTAGCAATACGCGAAGGGAAACTAAATTTCGTCTGACTGGATGATTATATGAAACAGACAAATTTCTTGTAGTGTCATGAGAGAGAAAGCACCATGCAATTTGTTCCTGAAGTTGACAGAATATGGCTGCGTAATGTGCATTCGACTGCCAACTGATGAACTAATGAACTAGTGATGACAAAAGAAATATTCGGATTGAAAGGACATGAGCAATACTGCAATCTTTCGGCAACTCGTAACTAGTAGCAAAGAAGAAATATACAAGGGACGGAACCGCGAGAGATCAGAAGGTTACCACTACGCATAGGTGGAGATGGAGGCGGCGACGGCGAAATCGGCAGCGCTGCCGCCGGCGTTGGCCATAGCTTGCGAGGCCTGACTGATGGCCACTTCAACTCCACGCCTAGATCTGAATCGAAGGGGGAGATAAGGCATCCATTGGAGGAGGGGAATGAACTGAGGTGGCGGGGATTCAGGTGTCGGAGGGCCGCACGAGGATTGGGGGCCGCCGTCGGGGGACTTCCCTGGGCACCGCCGTCGGGGGTCCTTCCCTGGGCGCCGCTCCTCTCACGCCGCGCGGGGGTGTGTTGTCTCCTTGGTCGAGCCGGGGAAGAAAGAAAGATTGAATCATTATGTTTTGCGGGATGGACGTTTCCAGCCAAATCGGAGGTGCGGAGCTCGGAAACTCGGGAGGGTGCAGCGCGTGTAAGCGATTTCGGCGCTGAATCTGTTTTATTTCAGACCGCTATTTCCGCATGCATGCCAAACAGCTGAATTGGAAATTTGGGAATACCAAATCTAATTCAGGGCCTCATTACAGACATCCAAATGCAGTGTTAGTGATATGCTCCAAAAACCCTCAACTACTTTCTCATATCCACATATGACCCAAACCAAAAGTCAAACTCGACCCCACCGATTCTTTCTATCT